TTTATTTGTCCTTTTTTATGATGATGTAGGAGAAACATACAAAATTTGTTTTGGCTGTGGCTAGATTAGTTCTTGCTGCATGCAATATTATATGACTGCTGTATTGTGGGGCATAGGTGTATTGGGGAGAATGATTGAACTAAAAATACCTGGGGCAGAATCATAATATCTCTGCCAAAATCTAGGAATTTTGAAATGGTTCACTTTTCTCAGATGCTGTTTAACTAAATTAATAATTTAATGTTTAACAGTTTCTTTATTGTTTCATTAGAGATATTGTAAAAGTTAATTTTACATGCAAAAAAATATGGTAGTCTTTATCTTGACTAGCAAATCTAAAAGTTCGATTCTCTGTGTGATGGATCAGAAAAAAATGCTGTTTTCTCAGAGTTTGGAGCAGCAATTAAAGAAAAGCTTTCACTAAGACTTACTTTTGTTAGAAATAAGATCCATATTTTTTTCCCTGAAGTCAGTTGGTCTTTTGGCAAAGATTAGATCTTTTGCATAGAACACCTTTTTGTTCAGAACAAGTTCTTCACTTACAAAATCTAGACCAACAACTTCATGAAAGTATGGAAGTCTAAAATCAGGAAATAGCATGTTGGTTTTTCTTAAAGCCTTAAAGTTTTGTTTTTAATATACAGGAGTATTTTTTGTAAAGATCATGTAGATAGTGTTACTTGCAGAAGGATTTGATTTAAGCTGTCAGTGGAGAGTTTATGCACTCACATACCCCAAAAGAAAGGAAAAAGAGACAGGTATTATAATAAATAGTGGACAGGAGAGATGCAAAATACATAATGATACATAAGGAGAAATAGGTGATAAACTTATTGTTGTAACTGTAGTGTGAAATTGTAATTTCATGTTTATGGATTAGTCTTGCAGTGATCATCTCTTCTACTCTGCCTTTAGGTTAGTTTGCAAAGGACTTCAGAGTTGGGTTTTTTTTCTCCTTTTTCTCTTTATTCTTTTATTCTTTATGCTCCATTAAATTTTTTAGACAAATTCTCACTCTCCAAATTGGGGATTAAACTGTTTTCAGGTAAAGAGTTTATCTAAGAAACCTTTCTGCTTTTCTATGTGCATAATATCAAATGTGATATGGCAGCCCCTTGCAACCTGTCTTCTAAAAGCAGGACAATTATTAGAAAAGAGCATTCTTTACTCCAGCTTTGTAGCTATGTCTGATATTTCATACTATGTCCAGGTATTCCACACAGATAATATTTGCAATTTTCATAAAATTTCTGTAGAGTCCTAGTTTATTATTCCATATACCTGTCTGCTTTCCAAGAGAGACACAGAGACTTTTTCTGTCTTTATGATCTTAAATACACAGTCTTGAGTATATCTTGCTTCATTTATTCTGTGATGGTGGAGATGTGTACTGAACACCTTGTGGAAAAAAAAAATGGAATTGTTTTTCCTTTCTTTACTGCCTTAATATATGTATCTAAAACTGATCTTTCATTTGACATTTGACAAATATGTTTTCACTGAGATTTATACATTGTTTACCTTCAGCTTGGCCCTTTCAGGTGTTGCTCAGCTGAACTGGATGCTGCCTAAATAAATATTTTTGATGTAATTTATGTTTTCATCAGTATTCAGAGACTAATTATGAATTGTGGTATCTGATACAATATAATTATTGTAATCATCCAAGGCTGATTTATCAGTTCCACTGATAAAAGTCCTTCTCAGTGAAAAAAAAAAAAAAAAACCCAAAAAAACCCCAGCAAACAAAAAACCCAGGAAAATTCCATATGAAACTCACCATCTTTGATTTGATTTGATCCTTTTGGCTAAGATCCTGTGCCAGTAACAAAGCATTCATGCTTGGTATGAGTGCCTGCAACTGTAACTTTAAGATTTGATTGCTTGTTAGTCATTCTCCATCATCATGTTTCTTACACAGTTGCATTATAAAGATTATTTAGTATCTTTAAATATATGCAGAGGACACCAACTTTGTTTTGGTGATATGACACCACAGTTTTATCCTGACAGTTTCTAAAGAAGTGGCTCAGATATGGTTTGTGTGAGCAGTGCTGAAAATCTCTATACAAATCAAGGCACTCAGAACAAGTGGTGTCTTTACTTCTGTTCCTGTGGTCTTTCAATTACTGTTATATTGGGTAATCCTGTTCCTAACATAATACAAAAAGGATCAAAACTTTTAGAAGTTGAGGGATTTTTATCTAATAATACTTTATAGTTAAGTACTTTATAATTTTAAAAGTACATTTAATTTTTATTCATTCAATTTGCTGTAGAGGAATTTTTAATGTCTGATAGATGTATGATGCAGTTGTGTTTACTGAATGATTGAAATATTAATTGGTTAAAATGTTGCTTGAATATTACTTAAATAACTCTGTTTTGTTGTAGCCGAAAAAGAAAACTAAGACATTCAATCCTCCAATCCGTAGAAACTGGGAAAGTAATTACTTTGGGATGCCCTTACAAGATTTGGTTACACCTGAGAAACCAATACCTCTGTTTGTTGAAAAATGTGTGCAATTCATTGAAGATACAGGTAAGATAGGAGGACTGTTAGAGGAAAGACTTTCCCATTTTGCATAATGACTAAAGCCTTTCATTTCCTGTTTTCAAGTACTTTTAGAATTTTATGATAGAAATAAGTAATTGTGGGCATGGCACTTTTAAAAATTAGAATGTGTTTTCTGAATTTTATGCTTAATATGTGATGATTTTTTGATTTCATTTATACAAATACTTAATTACTTTTTGACAAATGTCTGAAGTTTAACAGGTTCCCTGTAATTTAAAAAACTTGTATCACTTTCTAATGCCAAATGACGTGTAACCCAGTGGCAGGCCAGTCTTACATGTTTCACCGTTGCGTTTTATTTCTTGTGTTTAAAAGTTCTGAAATCCACCTTTTCCAATTATAGAAAACAAAAATTTGAATGGCTTCTGTCTTGGTATGATTAGTCAGCTTGCTTTCTTGATTTTGAAGGTAAACCAACTTGTTTCAGAGACAGAAATACTTATTTTCTAAATATTGTGTAATTCTCCATGAAAAAGGTTAAGCTATTTAAGATGTAGTTTTCCAGTTTAATGTAAAATATTAACATATATATGTTTACACTAGAGTTAAATTTCAGAGTGTGGTTTTCTCTCTCTCTCTCCCTGGCTTCCTGGTTGTGTGTTTGTTCCCACTTTCAGCCTATTTACTGTGTGACCATGAGGCAAGTAGGATGATTTTGCTGGTCAAACAGAAGACTACGGTTAGGAGTGGGGATTTGTTGTGAGGTTTGGGAGTGCTCTGTGGTTTTGTTTGAAGTTTTGGGGGGATTTTTTTGTTTGTTTTTAAAGAGTGTGAGCACTAGTTTTCAGTTAGTGTGTAGATCCTGTTTGCTGTGAAGTTTTGTAAATGATATATTGCTCTATTTGCAGTAGATGACAGTGTGACTGAGCTGAAACATATGCAGGACCATCTTTTGATGTGTGTCTGCTATGGGATGTTGTTTAGTGCAAAGTAAAACAGCATCATTTTTCTAAATTGCTTAAATCTCTAATACAATTTTGGTTGTAAGGTGATAGTAGCAGTTGTAGCAAGAGTAATGCTGAAGGATTTTCTTATAGTAAAATTCAGTTTTGCTGCCATCTGTAAGAACAGTGTTTCCAAAATAATTACCACAGGTGGTAAGCCTCATAGCTATTTTTGATGACTTACATACTGCATTATTGCAATAAAAAAATTTGGTGAAACCTCAGGCACTGATCTTTTTGTAGTCAGAGATCTTAGTATGGATCTGTCTTTAACCTTTACTTTCCATGGATTAAAGGTAAGAGCTGTATTTTCTGCCCTCTTGCTTTTGCTTTTTCCACCTCACCCAGTTAAAAATGGGAAAGAAGGAAGAAGGGCAAGGAATAATAGTGGTCTAGGCAGTTCAATATATATGTTGTGTTTGCTGTTTTCTGTAGCAAAAAAAAAACCAACCCAAAACAAACCATGTAATTTATAGGTGAGTCACTGTCCTTGGTATTATTTAAGTGTCTACATACAGCTGCTATGCATAGCTATATAAAACAGATATTAACTGGTATTGAAGACAAATTTCAAGAGTTTGTAGAACCTAGCAATAACTTAATTTGACATGTGTCACTTTTTAAGAATACTTTCAAACAACAAATTTATAAGTCCAGTTCTAAAAGTTCTAATTGCTTATAAGCATTGTTGTCTTTGTGGTAAACTTTTAAAAAAAAGGTATTTCTCTGAAAGAATTTTCACCAGCATGTGGAGTGAGAGAGAGAACTATAATAGCGTGGGAACATTATTTGTTGTCTTTTTTCCCCTCGTAATTGTCAAGCCATGTGACCAGCTTAGCACATCTCTTCTCTTTTCATGACCTGTCTTGGAAAAATAAGATGCTGGGTTAAGCTGCTGTGTGCTCAAAATGTAGGGTCTCCTCAAAAGTGGTGACTCAGAAGGCACAACTTTCCTGTTAGCTGTGCAAATGTTAGTCCATCCTGGAATGCTACTGTACAAATGGAGAATTTTAAATCTGGCCATAAATGTAAGCTGGACAAACATTGTGCCATCTGTGTAGTTTGTGACTGTGAAGACACTGGGTCTCTTCCTAGTTTTGTTAAACATTTAGAACAAAACCTCTGCTTTTGAGCTGTATTACAGTTTTCTTTCTCCTATTCTGGGTTCTATGTAAGTAGCTTTGGTGTTGTTTTCAGCTTCCATACTTGGCTGTGGGAGTTTTATGTCTGGTATGTATTAGTTTTATATTGTAAATATAAATATAAATACCTACATGCTGTAGGTATTTGAGTTTCAAGCAGGGTTCTGATAGAATATATTTGTTGCCTTTGAGAGAAAAGAATGTTTGCTTGCATTGCCTTCAAATCCTGTGCCTAGATAGACTCGCATCACTGACTTTGGGACTGTCTGAGAAAATTCCACAAACGCAGTTTTGGAGATTCTCAGTCTGCACAAGGCAAGTCAGGGCCTATTGGCTCCAGGCTGGAGTTCAGGATAGTACCATTCCTATGTGATAAATCTGCTTGGCCCTGGGGAGTCATTCAGTACTCATCTGTCTCTTAGCAAGTCAGCCTGCTGTCAGTTTGAACTGCACTGAATACCAGTGTTCATTATCATTGTTTTTTTTAATCAAGAAGTGCAGTCTTTTCCAACTCAGCTAATCCATATATTTCTCTTACAGAGCATATAATTGTTTAGCTTTTCCTCTTCAGGTACTTTCATGGTGTTCAGCTCCTTCCTATGTAATTTGGATTGTGGTTGAATATGTGAAGATGTGATTAATCTCGATTTGAAGGGCAAATCTTAATTTTTAATGTTTCCTCTTTCTGTCTCATGAAATTAAACAAGGCAATGCTTTGTACCCACTTGTCTAAATTTTGAGTGAGGCTAAAAAGCATACAGTGTGAAAAACAGTTTTCTCTATTTCAGGTGCCTAGATGAGACAATAGTACCTTAAAGCGTCTTTGAAGATTCTCAGTCCACCATAAACTGTTAAGAATTGAGCATATGCAGAAAATACCATCAGATTTTTGTTTTACCATAATGTTCTGGAATATCCTCACAAAAAAAAAAAGTGTGTATCAGTAGAAGAGAGGCAGTTTGGAAAAACTAAAGTAAATTCAGGAGCTTGAAAGTTCTAGCCTTTTATAAATCAACAGATTTTTTTTTGTTCTGAAGAAGCCATATTGTTTCTGTCAAGGTAAAGGTTGATCTGGTAAAGATAAGGGATCCTAAGTCTGTGCCTATAGAAGGTTATTGTCTCTGTGTTCCTCTTTAGTATTTTTCAGCAAAAGGCTTTATTCTAAACTGGGTTAGCTTTATGAAGCCAACCAGTTTTTGAAATTCAATACAGAGCTTGAATCCCCTTGTAATCTTTTTGATAGTATTGGAAGCAGAAACTGCGGGCCAATTAACTCAGGTTAATACCTGAGTAGATCTAAAGCTGGTAAGGTGTAAATATGTGTTAGAACCTCCATTTCACAGCAGTCTGCACTGTCACTGGTACCGAGAGTATGAATCAGTAATAGCACATAATACTTGGTTTTATTGAAATCTATTGATTAAAAACAAATCATAATACCATGTGAGAACATCTTAAATTTTATACCACTGTCACTTCTTAATAAGAAAGGAGGAAAGATTTACTAAATATTGTAAACAACTTTTCTTCTATGTTTCTACATTGTCCATGATTACAGGAAAGCCTTTTTTCTATCCAAGCCTTTAATTTTTGAATTCATTGTAATTATAGCAGGATGAGTAATATTTTGGTGGGTTGTCAGAGCTCTTTCTTGGTTCACTGAACAAGATGATCAAAAGATTTTTATTTTTTTGCAGGTAAGTAACTTGCCAATAGTGAATTACCAAGTTTTCCACTAAACATCTTGGTATAAATATATAATTTTTTCAAGGAAACTGATTTTTGGTAAAGATATTGTGATCTTACCTGTAACCTTTTACAGACTATATGGACACTTTTCTGTCACTAGTAACATGTATATTTTTGTGCTTTTACCTTTGTCTCATCCTTTGGAAATCGTTTTGTAACTTGCCCATGAGAGCAACTATTCCAATTGACTGTCATTGGTAGCTATTTTTGGTTATGGGCTTCTGAAAGAGTATTCTGATGATACAGTTGTTCTGGTCTGTTTTTTGCTTTCTCCTGATAGACTGAAGAGGACTTCATTTTGTTGCATCGTTTGAAATGAACTTTTAAAGTGTTCTGGTTTTCTGTAAACTAGATCTATGTATTTAGCAGGGAAACCAGAGTTTTGATTTTCAAGAAAATTGTAGTGGCTGTTTTTGTATAGAAGTAATGGTGCTATGCTAAGATATGGTAGAAAAAAGATTACCTGCTATTTTTTAATAAAAAAATACAATGTAGATCATTACCTTTTTTAGTACAACTCTTTTTTTTTTGAAATATAGGTAGCAGAATTGAGATACTTTTTGAAACTAAACTGTTTAGCTGTATGAATGGCATGAATTCTGTGTTTCTCTGACAATTGCCATGGTGAGAATAAGGCAGATATTCAATACTCTGGGAGATAGGAACGTATTTCTGAAGGCTAATTTAATGTCTTCAACAAAATATTGATATGGTTTGAGTTTTGTATTTCAGTATAATGGAAAAATATTTATTGAATGTCCAGTTGGAAGTGTAAAAAGTGTACATGTTTATGCCAACTTTGTAGCTTGAGTGTTTCATTGGTAATATTTTTATGTGGTTATACACACCTCAAATTCAGTGATGAACTATTCCATGGACTATTTGTGTACTATTCAACAACCTACTGTTGCTGATTTTTAAGTTTTCCCAAACTTCAAATAATTCAGGCAAGATGACTTGGGCTTACTGATACTATTAGCATATGAGGGTTTTTTAATATTTCAGTATTTTTTTTCATTTTGGGTTTACTTTTTGTATTCGTTCATGCATTAGTGAAAAGTTTGCTATAGGTTACATTTAATTTTGTTTTACCAAGGAGGTAGACATCAAATTAACCTTACAAATACGA